AAACCAAACTCGTAAGTGGACAGGGTCCACTACCCTATGAAACACGACTATCCAATCTCGGCCTTTTTCCCCTGAGTTACAGACAGCTAAGAGGCGACCTTATACAAACATTCCGTATACTGCGCGGCCACGACTGCTGTCTCGTACGTGCGACCACAACGGACCTCCGAGGTCATCCACTTACGCGACGCGTAACTGGCGCCAAGCTGGACATTCGGAGGTTCTTCTTTTCAAACAGAGTGATCCAGGCTATGAATGCTCTACCTACAGCTGTCGTCATGTCCACCTCCGTCGAGGCTTTTAAGCGCAAGTTGGACCAGTGTACCACCAAACGTCAGAATGCCACCTGACTGACATCGTCTAGCATTTCGTTCGAACAGTTTATTCACGTTGTTATATTACTGTCTGCATTTCAGTAATGTTTGTTTTGTTTAATATTGTCCCATGTCTGTTGAATGTATGTTGGCATCGAATTCGTCTCCCTCAGAAACTGAAGTAGCACCAACAGAATACTGTACAGCACGCTTAATATCGTTAATGTTTTTAACTCTTGGAACAATTCGTTTATCTGTCTGGCCTCTAAAACTTTGCCAATCTGAAGAAACTCTGTTGCTGTTTGATGTTTCCATTTCCAAATTTTTTATATAGTTCGCTTCCTTGTAACAAATAGGAAGTTCAAAGGTCTAACACCTATATTTCCCTCAAATAAAACTGAACTTTACTGAACAGTTTTCCAGCGAGAGCAAATTTGAACTCCGTATTCATCGATTACAGCATGAAAAGAATTCAGTTAATTTTTCGTCTGACTGATCGTCCGCGAAAACCCCTCCAGTGAGAGCTCAACCATTTGTCATGCTCTCACAATGATGAATGTGAATGTGAAGTCAGGATGCGAGGCGATGCAGCGTGGACGATCCTCGTATATACAATTCACTATGTGCCCTACCTTAAGTGGTACGAGCGGGATAGTCCATGCCAATACCTGGTTTACGTTCCACCAAGAAGTTATCATTAGCACTCAACTGACATGAATATACCTCCAAATCTGTCATACTGGTCTAACTTCGAACGCCTGATGCACCTTCCGTCACGATGACAAATGGCATGCCGGAGACCGGATAACTTAGCAAAATCTTACGACCTGGAGAGAAAGGCACTAAGTATTTGCGCTAAACACAAATATGGATTGCAGACTGACTCTGAATCCTTCAGTCATTTCAAAATACCTCAGTATGAAATGAATCTTCCAGTCAGAATGGCAGCCTTCTAAGTCGAGACTCTTAAGGAGTCGGTGTTATTGGATTCATGTGCCACATCGGCGGCTACCTCAGTGAATAGATTACACAATCATCCTTCCCCTGCACATTCGGATTTGCAGCAGCATCTCTGGTAGGAAAATACCAGCCCCTTAACGCTAAGCCTTAACCCTAAAGCCCAACCCTTGGCCCTAACCCTTTACGATTAACCATGACCCTTAACCATTAAGCCTAGGCTTTAACCCATAGACCTAGTCCATAGCCATAACTCTTAACACTAATCCTTAATCCCTAACCCTAAGCCTAGCCCGTAATCCTAGCCCAACAAACGCAGGGCAGTGATGGAGTTCGGCAAGCGAAGTTTAAAATCTCTCATTAAATGAGAGATGCGAACAGATCAAGGATGTCATTCTCGGTGTCATCAAAGCACATATAAGAGGGTGAGCACGGCTTGTCATCATAGCATTATATTTAACTTTATCAATCTGCCTCATTACACAGTCCTTTGAGCTGATAGTTAATTATGCTTATGTCGACCGAACACTGCTGACTGCGGATTGAATTGCAAGTCCTGTTCCTGAGAATGTGCAGGATGTCAACGTGCTTGTTGTTGTTGTAGATTACATTATATTGCAACGTGATGATTCCTACAGTAGACAAGAGCCTATGCACTGAAATAGAGAAATTGCCTAGAAGTAGTGGAGGAGTGGGAATCTGCTTCGGCATTGTAAACTTTTAAGCCTGCCTCCGTGGACTGTTCCTGTGGACTCAGTTTCTCCAGCATATTCTCACCACAAAAGAGTCCCTAAATCCTGGACGTATTTGAAAGCGTCAGCCCTCGGACAGTTGGGCAGCCTAGCCTTCAAAATCGTCCTTGGCCGTGCCCAGTACACACAGCCTCTACAACTTATCGACCGCGGTGGCCTATCGATCGGCTGACCGTCTATTCAAATATGAATGCCGCCTCGCTCACAACTGCATATTTCGACATGGTGAATGCCTGCGCAAGCAAACTTTTGTCTGGCTGTCAAAAGTTGCTTAGTCGGATTCGGCAGTTGCCCCGCAATCTGCGGGGGAGAAGAAGTAGCAGGCATATGTACGAAGGAGAAAGTACATGCTGTAAGTCCTCCGACCTCTGTCTTATCGAGGTGACTGACATAAAGGTGCAAGATAGACATATACTAATGTTATTTATTTTTTGAAATATTTGCCCACACTTTGTTAGATTATGTTTCCAGAAAGAGGGTAGACTATTTGATTTTATTATAATTTGAAATAAATTAGAAATGAGGAATATATGACGATGCTCACGGAATGAGTTTGTTACTCTGGTCGTTAGGAGGCACTGCGTATGACTGTTTTTCGTTCACCTCCGCCACATCCTCCTCTTTAGGCAGATTAGTGAAGGTGACGAAAATAGAGGAAATGGAGCCCTGGGAAACATTCACACCCAGGTTCCAGAGTACCCCCCGCCGAGGGTCGTTAGTGCCGATCAGGTGCACAGTTTCTGATATCGAACTCTCGCAGCGGAGTAGTCAAATGAATTTCTCCAATGCAGAGGAGTCGGTTGAGGGAAATGCACTCACAGCATTTGGAAGGTCTCCCCTGGATATGTTCAGAAGCACTGCGGGTTATGAGGTGAGTCGACGTATGCATTGGTTGGCGAATCTCACGTCATTAAGCTGAAATTCCAAATCTGTTTCTGATTGCATTCGATTGCTAAGGTGGGCATGCAATTTCGGCTGTCCCTCGGCGTTATTCCATATATTTCAGTCTCAGCAGATTTTGAGTGCACTTTTATTCAGTCCCCGGCAGTAAACACGCCAGATATGAAGTGACCGTTTACGTAGAATACTTTTTTTCATTTGACATTCGATCACTCAATCAGTTCAAATGTTTTCGTAGGTAGCATTTACAAAACCATCCTTATTTGTATTAGATTTAATGTTCCTGAATGAATTTTGACAGAATTGATTTTTAAAAATGATTTTCAATTCTATGCTAAATATGAAATGCATCTGAAAATGTCTGCTCTGATAATTACGACTGTGCGCCACGCCTGTCAGCACATGGTGAGGTTCTTTCGAGTCTCAGGGTTGCATTAGCAATTTGTCATCCTTCAAAGTTGTGTCTGTCTCTGCTTGAAGTGAATACCGAGTACATCCTTCTCTTCCGGAATACCAGTGCAGGGGAACGATTGCAGGCATTTCGCCGTCACTATTCTTCGTAGGCCCCTCAGAATAAAGCCTGATTTTTCTTGCTGACTAGATGGCATTGGGGATGCGACGAGCAATTTTGTCATCCATCTGGATATCTCGTAAAATCGTATTTTCTAGGTACATGAACGTGTCCGCGCTGAGGTGAGGCGAGCTCAAGTGACATTGATATGGTGCACGTTGTAGGAAGCATAGTGCGTCATCCAGTGCTAGACACATGGTCATAGTCATTTTGGAGCAGCTGGATTCTGAGATATCAACATTCTGCTGTTCGCCGTCATCTGTTGTGATGTCTGACTTGCGGGGGCTGTGAATGTCGGCTTTTCATACTCCAAATGCTGCTTGAATGCGACGGATGTTGAGCGGTATTCCGGCACCGCTGTAACAGATGTGGACACTAGACTGCCGCCGTTGGTATTATAGGCCGTATTAATCGTCTTCCAGGAACACATTAAAAATTTACTCGTCGTTGGCATTAAGCCAGTTACTGTGCCGTCGGCACGTGCGATCGGTGAATTCCTTCGCGATGGTCTGGAAAATGTCCTGCTCCCTCCACACTCTCCCGCCATCTCTTTACATCTCAGATATTTGCATGTAACTGCTCATAGTCAGTCGACGTTCACTCCCATCGCTTAAGGAAATAATGTTTCCCCTCCTCGCGGTTACCATCGCGAATGCAGCTAGAGCCTCATACATGGCATGATAATGCAGTAATCCTTCCAGAAGTCGGCCGCAAACGTCTACTTGTTCACTAACGCATCATCTTGATCACGCCTTCGATCGAGGTGGAAAACACTTGGAAGGAGGGGCACTGAGGCTGTTTACTCACAGTGACGGATCCATGGTCACAAATGAGTCATTGACGCCCTCTGGTAGACATGAATGCAGTCCCACGACGTTGATGCCGATGCGAAAGAAACTGCAGTTTCTCTCTGCGCTGTTCTTCGACGCCCGCTCGAGGATAAGTCGTCTACGGTATCTATCTCCTTCAGTTGTCCCCGTTCAGAGAAGCCACTCTCGCTGACATCTGCAATGTACACTTTGCAACGGAACAGTTCCCGTTCAAATATAGCCGTCCCCCATTCGGCTAGTAAACATTTTGAAGAAGAAGAAAATGCGACAACTGACGCCAAAAAATTTTATATGCCTGACGTTTTGGCTTCTCACACGAACTCTTCAGCATCTGCGACTATTTCTGATTAAGAGTTCCAGTGAGCATCTGAAACGTCAGGCCAAAAATTTTCTCGTTTCAGAGATCATACCTTAGTAGTATGTTATTACCGACAAGGACAAGGGGAATCGAATAGACAATTCTGGCTTATTAGCCGTCGTCAACCAGTCATTCCCAACTCCGAAGTATGGAACACATGGGACTCGAACTTGCGACCTGTTAGTTGCAAGCCCAACGCCTCCTACCACTGAGCTACGAGCCCGTTATCCTGTCTTCTAAACTGCTCCTTGAACTGTGAATTTTCGCTTCCCTCAATAAACATTCTGAAGCAAAATCGTTTTACCGACTGTGTGAGAAATGTGCCCAAATCGTGCCTTCCTTGCATTTCAGTCGGACGAACAAGATGTTCACGCCAATATCTGCGATGAAGTAGCAGAAAGCGAGGAGGCAATTCCATTCTACTCCCCTCCATTGGGCGCTGTCTTTGGGGCCCCCATTCAGACGCAGGAGGAAAGTCTTCAGCTCCTTGTGAGTATGATTCACATGTTGCTCGATTGCATAACCTACTATTTGTTGCCAATATGGAACAGGCATTTTCTTTTCAACAAAACAGAAAAATGCAAGTAATCCATTGGCAAATGTGTGCTGACCTTGAGACTGACATGATGAATCATTATCGCATTTCAGGGCGTACCACACGTTCTGGCAGTTTTGATCCAGAAACTCGAGGAGCACGGAATGGATTGGCCGGCATTATATACAGACATGGTGACTTCGTCGAATCTCCGCATAAAAATGAATTTGATAAACTCGGTGGGTTTCGCACGGAGACTTTACACTTTGTTGTTCAAATCCTGCTCGTTTGTATTCCGCCATATTCCTTGACGTGCATTTAACACATTTCAGTACCCCGTTGACGATCTGGTCCGAATGCGCCCCAAACTCTCCGCAGATCCTTACCATCTAGCAACAATGATTACCCTCTACGTTGAATGTCTGCCGACGAGACTGGTGGAGGGCATGGGTGAGTCAATCATCGGTCGTGAAATTACCTTATGCAGCAGAATCTTTCTGCTGTGAAGTCAGCAGTTTGCTTGTTTTCATCAGAATCGGAGATGTCTTCTCCCTGCTTAGAGGCAGTGATTTGGTATTTTGTTACTATTGCTCAATCGAGAACGCACATCATTAATGACACTGCTCTGCTGGAATATTTCTCCCTAATTTTTGATGCAGCTGCATAACCAGGCATCTCAGTTGAATCGGGATCCTAGCAGCTACACACTGTTCTGCATTCTAATGCTGTGCCTTGTCGTTTTCAGATGTGTGGAGATCAGCGCTGGCAACACTGCCACGAAATGGTGAAGCGGACTTCTGCATGCCTGAGACGTCTGTGGACCTCGTCCTGCAGTCCAGTGAGGAGGTGACATGTCTGGTGAGTTGCGAGGTAGCATTTGCATAGCTGGCTGTCTGTGCGTTTTTTAGCTTCAAGTGTCTAACATCTGTCGTCCAATGTCCACAGCGATTCACGTCTTTCCAACTGACTGGAGGTGTGCTTTCAGTGCATGGTGAAGTTGGTGCCTACTTGGCCACACTCGACCACCTGTTCACTCACTGGCACAAAGTGTGGCAGTTGGTCCGCCAGCGCTCGCAAGAAGAGGTAGTCCGCCTATTCATCCTCATATGCCGAGCTGTCTCCGGCCAGACCGATGACGAATCTGTTCAGGTAGGATCTTGCTGCGGCAGCTGCACGTTTCTCCTTAAGGTAGGGCTTGCCATCAATCTGAGGGGCATTTATTGTTATTTGTCTTCCGTACTTACAGGTGGTGTATGACTTGGTCAGCAAGTGGCCGGAAATCAGGCGGGACCTCATTGCGGAAGTGGGAGACATGCAACCGGAGACTAGTGGATTCACAAAGTATGCCTGATTCGTTTTTCCTTCGCGCGCATCAGGCAATGGATGATGTGTTGACTCTTTGGTCCCTACCTCGGTGCACATACTCCCCTCCCACCAATATCCGATGGCAATCATTTGCATGTGCGAATCGTCCGCATATGGTGTATGACCATGTCCACGAAATTTTGCGGCCTGCTGATAAATGGATCTGCGCACCACCACCCTTCAAGTGACCACTCACGTGACTGTTGTCCTAGAAGAATCCTCTGGAGTTGGCATCGACGAGGTTGTCAGCAGCGAGGCCGCCGACAGACCTGCCTACAGCGTGATCTTGGTATTGAATTTCCGAGGGTGTACTCTATTTGTGAGATTCAACGCTCCAATTCCCGTTGTTGATTACCTGATCTGTTTTCTTCCAATCTCTTAGGCGCCAAATATCTGATTTGTCCTATTGTTTGAGTTGTGATTGTTTAAATATAACTTACTCATTACTGCACTCCTGTCCGTTCAGTTCAATTCAGTTCACTTTTATTAGGGGACATAGAGGCGAACAACTTTGAGCTTGCCATTGGCTACTAATACTCTAAGAAAAGCGCCGATAAGTGGGAAATTAAGCGAGAAATTCTATGGCTGTTAACCGGTCGAAAGAGGACAATCATGGACGTCTGCGAACTTATTGTAAGTAATATAAACATATGCAAATTGAGAGACGAGTCACGTTACTACATGTGAAACTGGTAATTGGGAAGCTGGATACGCGTCGAGTCTGCACTTCAATGAATCCGCACATGAGGAGAGTACAACATCAGTAGTCAGGGGTGTGTCATGCTGCAACCGTTCTGTTTCTGAGAAAGGACATTCGTCCGTTGATCATCGGTTTACTTGCGCGTAGTTTTAGGGGATGACCGCGCAAAGTGGGCGTGTTATCTTGAGTTAAATAATCACCGGGACCTTAGCAAGGCGGAAGGTCCGCGGAAGGTCAGTTTCCAGGAGGACATCTGAGCTCGAAAGTGGCAGTTCAACTGGTGCCACAGTGCCCTCGTTCCGCATAACATGCACCAGGACGTGTGCAAATCATAGGCTTCCGACATTAGATTAATGTGCATGTTCTGACATAGGAAATTCAGCAGTAGTAGGTCGCAAGCTTACGGCAAGTAATCGCGTTCTGCTATGCTGTTGCCTCTAATGTAGCCTAGCTCTATGTATGTTGATATGTAGGTAGGTAGTGTGTAGTGTGATGATGGTACCTGAGGTGCGGTTCTTAATCCGAGGATATCCTGGAAGTGCATATAACCAAATAGACTCACGTGAAATTTCGACTTTTAATTTTCTTAGATATTACTCATTAGTTCGGAGTAAATAAGTCTATTTAAGAGTTTTTGTCTCAGAGAGATTTGACAGATAGGATGCTATTCAAATGGACATTATATGGTTTTAATGAATTTCATAATGAGAAAATTTTAAAACCACAAGACACCCTATCGTCAAGTATGAGGTTTTAAGTAGGTGCGACTTCCCACCGAACACTTACAGGGAAGATTATTTTTGCTCATGTTCGTGCAAAATATTTTCGAATTTCTGAAGTCATAAAAAGCCAATGGGTGAAACTACACTAAATGAGTAGTCGTCGTTTACCATGCGAGTCTCTTGCTGGTAAACAGAAAATTCGCATTCAAAAGCCTACACCCTGACGTGTTAGAACCATGACGGGATCATGCCAAAAGTTAATCAGTCTTACAACGCCACTTAAGTAATCCTTCCTAAGCAAGAGCGCATTTAAGAATTAAAGCTAAACTTTCATAAGATCGGTCGCTAACTGTAGTATTTTGGACGTTATAGGGGTGTCCTCACTGGTGTCAGAATAATTCCCATTTGTGAACGGCCATGATTGTATGCTTAATGGTTATAGAGAGAGAGGAAGGGAGAGAGGATTTCGCCTTATTTCGAAATTATAAATTCAAAAATTTCAGCAGAAATTGTCTTCATTCACAATGGGCAGTAAATAATTCCATCAATCATTCCAGAGTCAAAAAGCTTAACACAAAACGAGCGATTATTATAGAGACAGTTCAGGTTTTAGCTTCTGTATTTATATCTTTTTACAGTCAAGTTAGCGCAGCAGGAATTGCAATACAGAACCTTGAAATGTCAATGTGCGACAAGAGATAAATCGGAAGCCGCGACGCATCGGGCGGGAAGACTTCGCAGAAATAAGACCAGAATACAAGGGATGGGCAACATCATGTTGAATTCGACCAGCAAATTGCTTGACCCTAGTAAAATGTCGACTAAAATGCGAAAATAAACACCAGCTGCAGACGAGAGCATTCGTAGGACTCGTTTTAAAATCAAAAGATCTTTTTGAGCAAAGCAGGAAGAATGACAGGAGTGCAATATAGGATAAGAGGAAGAATGCAGGCATCGATGAGTCATCAGACTAAGGGTTGAGGTGTGTGGTAGGAACGCAAACGACGAATTTAATAAAGAAGTTCACGAAATTAAGTAAATAGGGACTCAATATGGAGGTAAAATGAAAGATTTTAGGAGAAAGTAACGCCGAGGTAGCTGAAAGAGTATACCTCGTTAGGAAGGATGTCAGAGGATTCAGGACTAGTAGAGGACTACAGTCGGAAAATACACTAAACTGTTTTTGGTCGTTCATTAGGTGACCATTTTCATCCGACCATACTAGGACATGGTTAAGGCCATCCTTTAGAGACTAGAGGTATGTCCGATTTGTGAGAGGGTGTCCAACAACCACATTAACCAAACGACAGTCGTTAGAGGATCTTGGATCATGGGTGTGTAGGTAGAAAAGGTGAGGGGATCGAATGGAACCTTGAAGAACTCCGCAGTCATTCGGAAGAATCGTAGACTCCCGCTTGACAGATTGAAAAAATTGAGTGCGTGAAGTAAAATAATCGATGATGCAAGAGACGACCCAAAATGCAGAGCCGCACACGAAGGTTTTGGTTAGGAGAAGAGGGCACGGGACGGCATTGGATGCGGAGGAGTAGTCAAGAAATGTACATGCGTGCTCGCGGCAACCCTTGTCTAATTTTCTTTGAACAGAACGGACCACAAGTGTAACAGCATATAAAGCACTGTGTTTGGCATTATATGCTAATCGTAGAGTTTTGGCAAAACTGGGAAAAAGTTTATAATATCCAGGGCAGCTCTTTTAGCAATCTTCATCAGTGCAGAAGAGCAAACAATTAGAAGAAAATATTTAGGGTTAAAATATGCGGTTTTTAGGGATAAGAGTGATTCTCACTGTACGCTAGGCGTCGGGAATCTTGAACTCCATGAAACGCATGTTAATAAGGTTCGTTAAAATGGTGGCAATCTAAGAACGACCAGATTTTAAAGTAAAGGTGAGACACCATCCGGTAAACCAGCTGTTGATCCACGGACATTTTACGTTGTTTCTCTACTGTTGCCAAAGATACGGATTGGAAGGCACATGGTGATAGGGGAATGTCATTTGAGGAAAAATGGGAGTCATTGTGAATAAAGATACAATTTTCATTTAAGCACTCTAAGTCAGCATCCACATGTACCAGTGTACTGCGATGGCCAGTGAGACGCTTACGATTCTTCCAAATTTTAGCAGAGGAAGAAGAGGTAAAAGGCTGACTAACGAACATGTGATTTAGTCTGGCAATCTCTCTTTTTACTAAGACGGTAATGTCATTAAGGCTGTCACGTAGGCCTAGCTTGTAAAGGATTTCTCAATGTTCATTCTAAGAACTTTAGATAGGGCGAAGAAATTCTATCCTGTTGTACTATTACAGTACCACGAGGACAGCAATTATCAAAAATTTCATTTAAGAACGCTGTTAGGCTGTAAGAACATGATTCGACTTCTGATTGTTGAAGTAAAGCAGGGGTGGTATAAGATATGCGAGTCTGAAGCAGGCGAATGTTTTGTGTGGACGTGTTGCGAACATTAACCTTTCTATCAGGCTTGGCTGTCAGTGCATGTTTAGAGGTGGAAGAGATTTTCGGAAGACCCAATAAAGTAGAATGATCAGAACCTAACAATGGAGCCCTATTTTTAACGCAAAAACGTTTGCTGTGTTTGGTCAGAATTTGATCATGAGGGGCATCAGCTCGAGTAATGAAGGAGACAAGATCAGAATGATATTACCGACAAAGACAAGGGAGACTGGAATGGCCATTTCTGGCTTATAAGCCGTCGTCAGCCGAGCCTCGAACTCGCGACCTGTTGGTTTAGAAGTCAACGCCTCTACTCACCGGGCAACGAGCCCGTTGCCCTGTCGGTTTTCGATCGGGAATATACAATGTTAGGGGGCGCTCACCGATCGTTCATACGGAACTCACTTGTTCCGTTGTGTCTTAAGGGCTCTCTCTCTTGAGCCCAACCAGCAGCCGCACAGCGGCGCATGATATATAGGCAGAATAGAGGCAGTATAGACGTTGACTTCTAAACCAACAGATCGCGACTTCGAGGCTCGGGTGTTCCACACTTCGGGCTTGGGTATGGCTGGCTGACGACGGCTAATAAGCCAGAAATGGCCATTCCAGTCTCCCTTGTCTTTGTCGGTAATATCATTCTGCCTATATATCATGCGCCGCTGTGCGGCTGCTGGTTGGGCTCGAGAGAGAGAGCCCTTAAGGCACAATGGAACGAGTGAGTTCCGTATGATCGATCGGTGAGCGCCCCCTAACTTTGAAGACAAGATCATCAAAACCTGAATTGTGAGGAGACGTAAATTCACGCGATCAAAATCACCGTAAAAGGGAATGAGATATTCGCAGGACAATTTGACAAGTTTTTGGAAGAAGGTCTAAAGAACGGGCTGGAACACCTTCAGCGGTGGACGGGAGGAATGTAAATACTAACAGATAAAATGTTTTTAAAATTACTTAACATACAGGGCTTACATGGAACAGCAATGACATCTATCAAGCCAACAGAGGAAGAAAATAAGGACTTACAGTCTCTAGACCAATTCTGATTAACAACAATACAAACGCCCACACCTCTGCCACAAGATACAGATCTTC